AGATAGACATCTCCTTGATATTGCTCGGACCTTGCTATTCCATCGCCAAGTTCCCAAAAAAATTTGGGGGGAAACTATCTTAACAGCATGTTACTTGATTAGTCGAATGCTTTCTTCTGTTCTGTAAGATAAAATTCCTTTCAAGATTCTATACCCCAACGATGATCTCTTTCCGCTTTCTCCAAAGATTTTTAGCCCTCTGTGTTGTTCATAATCACAATCCAAATAAATAAAAAGTTGACTCTCGATCTATTAAAGACATTTTTCTTGGTTATTCCCAAAAGCATAAAGGTTACAAGTGTTTCTGTCCGTCACTCAATCGTCTTGTGTTATCTGCTGATGTAACCTTCTTTGAAGATAAACCCGATCATTCTAGTTCTCCATCTCTATTATCACCAGATAAGTATGATTATTTGATCCTGCAAGAGTCATTGTTTATCGGTAGTGGTTCATCCGCTGACAAACTCTTTACGTTGCTGGCAAAGACTCAGTTCAGTTTAACGACCCAATTCAAGTTTATCATCGTCGTTCTGCTCTTGCTCCTGTGCCAATGTCGGCCTCAACACAACAGAGTTGCAGGCTTTAGGACGAGGAATTCTCTACTCAAATCAAGGACACATCAGAGTTGTAGGCTTCTCTGATGCAGATTGGGCTGGATATCCTTTTAATAGGAGATTGACTACTGGATATTGTGTCTTCCTTGGAGGAAATCTAGTGTCCTGAAAAAGTAAGAAACAAAGTATTGTGTCTCGATCCAGTGCAGAATCAGAATACAAAGCTTTAACAAATGTGACACTAGAGATGGTTTGGATTAGAGATCTATTGACAGAGATTGGTCTTCCTTCAGAAGGTCCCATGGATCTATATGGCGACAATAAAACAGCAATTCACATTGCTGAGAATCTCGTGTTTCATGAGAAAATCAAGCACATTGAAATCAACTATCATGTAATCCGCAAGAAACTCGAGGACAAAACCATCACGACAAAACATGTATCGACAGTACATCAGTTGGCAAACATTCTTACAAAACCAGTTGATCGAACACGGGTTAACTTTATTTGTGACAAGTTAGGCATGCATGATATATATGCTCCAGCTTGAGGGAGAATGTTAGAAGAGAGTATTAATTTAGCATTGGTTTAGTCCCACATTACCCGTGAAACTAACTTGTAATCAATCCATCTCTATAAATAATAAAGTATAGAGTGAGAACACTCCAATAATCTCTTTTCTCCAAATCTTAACAAAAAACACACACAATTACCTCTACTACCACCGCTCATCCACCCTTCATCAATCAAATCCAATTCCCACCACACTCACCTTTAACCCATTAACCAAATACACCCACCAACACCCAGTAGTCATGGGCCTCATACATTTGCAAACCTCTCTTCCTGCAATCATTGTCTACCCTCATAACCCCTTGCAACAATCATTGTTTACCCACACCACCACTTGCAGTCATGAGCCCACTGGTCGCAAGTTAGCAAAACATGCAGTACTGTTTTTTTCACACAGCAACAAAATCAATACTGCACCTTTTAATCTCATAGACACAGACATCTGTGAACTATACTCTTACCCTCATCGTGGTAGAAATCACCACATGTATTCATAATAACTCACGCTTCATATGAATCAACCTCATGAAAAAATCGGATACCTATGACATATACAGAGGGTTCACCACCATGATCTCTGCTCAGTTCTCCACAAAAATCAAAACCTACGCTAAAACTCAGTAGGGGAATACAAATGTCGCTGCTTCACTGAACTCCTAGCCTCTTAAGGCATTCTCGCCCAAATCACCTACATATAAACCTTTCAACAAAACAACATAGCTAAAAGACATTATCTCTTAGAAACTACCAGATCCCTCATGTTAGCTTCCGCAGCCGTTAAATTCTGGACAAATGCCCTGCTCACAAGCGTCTATCTCATCGATCATACTCTCCCATCTACTCTAAAAGGCCTTTCACTCTTTCAATAAATTACACTAATCACAACCAAGTTACTCACCTTCGGGTCTTCGGCTGCACATGTTTTATCCAACTTTCGCCCTTAAAGCGAAACAAACTTTCCTCTTTTCTAATTTTCATCACAAAGGCTACCACTGTCATGATCCCATTCTGGTCATTTCCATATTTCTCCACATATAACCTTCTTCAAACACCTTCCATATTACGCTCTATCGTCTCCACTAATACCTTCCCCACCATTTGCCCTCATATATTTCATATTCCTCAATCTCAACACATCTGCCATAACTCCCCACCCACTCTTGCTATGTCACCCTCCATTTTGGAGCTAACTCCAGTAGATAGTCCTTCTACCGAGCAAACAGTCACTCTTTACTCAACTCCTGCTGTAACGAATCTACTAACCCCACCAGATCATCCACCTACCACTGAGATTATATTCGAGCCAAGATATTCATCTAGAGCTTGCCAACCACCCAATAAATACTGACCTCAACTTCACCGTCATCACTTTTCACAACGCTATTATGATGATGTCAGATTATCAGGAGTCTAATTCTTACTATGATGCAGGTAAATGTCCTGAGTGGCTATAGGCAATGGCGAAAGAACTTATAGCTCTTCAGCAAACCTATACCTAGGATCTCACTCCACTCCCTCCGGCCAAGACCCCTATCAGCTGCAAGTGGACTTATAAGATTAAGATGAGAGCAGACAAAACTATTAAGCAACACAAGTCTCGGCTAGTTTCCAGGAGCTTCACATGACAATACCGTGTGCACTATTACAAGAATTTAGCTCTCATTGCCAAGATGACCATAGTCCTAGACTTTCCCACTCCAAAGGCTTTGTCTATCACCTAAGGTGTGCCCTATCACCTAAGGCATGCCCTCTATGGTCTCAATCAGGCACCACACGCATAATTTGCTAGATTCACATAGACCATGCTACTAGCGGGCTTTATTCCAGGTGAGAACGATTCGGTCATGCTTATCTCCTCTACTAGTGGACACCACACAATCCCTCTCCTCAACATCAACGATATGATCATCATTGGCGACAACCCATCTACAATCAACAAAATCAAATCTCATATTCAACAAGAGTTTGAGATGAAATATCTTGACGACCTACACTACTTTCTCAAGCTAGAAATCTATCAAACCTCTTTTGGTTATCATCTATCTTAACAAAAGTTCACTGCAGACATCATTCTCTAAGCAAAACTAACGAACCCCAACCCAAACTAAATGCCCTCTGAATTGAACATCAACCTCAAATCCATTAATGGTGATCCATTTCCTGATGACACCAGATACCGACATCTCGACGGAAGTTTGGTTTATCTCACCATCACCAGACCTAACATCTGATATGTTGTACATTTCCTCTATTAGTTTGTCGTTGCACCTCACTTCTCTCCCCAATCTGTATTACTTCGCATACTACGCTACCTCCGAGACTCCAACCAGAGCTCTATTCTTCTCAGCATCCTCATTATTTATCTCCAGTGCCTACAATGGTGCCAACTGAGCAAGCAATATCACAGATTGAAGATACACGACCATACACTACATCTTTCTTAGTAACTCTGATTTCCTGGAAGTCCAAGAAATAAGATGTGGTCTCCTGCTCTAATGTCGAATCCAAGTATCGAGCTATGACATCAACCACAACTGAGATCATCTGGCTTCGGTAACTTCTTCTCAACATGGGAGTTTCCTCTCCAATTACGACTCCTCTACACTACGACAACATTAGTGTAACCAAAATTGCTAGCAACCCTGTTTTTCATGAACAGGCAACTAATTGAGTTAGGCTATCATTTTACTCGTCATCACTTGCTGGCACCATCAGCCTACCATGACTGAACATCGATCTACAAGTTGCGAACTTCTTCACCAAGGCTCGCATCATACAATGACATCTTTTTCTTCACAGAAATTGTCCTTAGTTAACCTAATTACAGTTTGAGAGGGGTGTTAAAATATTGTAAATATTCATACTTGTTTCCTCTTCTTTAGTCCCATGTTGCTTAAGATACTAGACTCCTTAGTCTTACACTTGTATATAAAACCATGATATACTGAATATATTTATCTCTTTTGTCCCAAAAGCTCTATATTTATCACGGAAGCTACTGTAGTTTTCACTTTTGTAAAAAGAGGCTTTTGAATTTAGGATACATTTGGCACTACGATGAAACACATTAAATTCAAGGCTTTTTTTTACTTTGATAACATTAACTAAAACTAAACACACCATAGGCATCTCCTCCAAAAATGTATGATACTGATCAAGCACTTGATAAGCAGGAAACCACATAGGCGCTCATCCTAGCTGCCAAAGGCCGTGGTATTTTTTGCTTCACCTCTCCTTTGAGAGAAGCAGACACTATGACTAATGCCTCAGCAAGTGAAGCAAACTATTGCAACATAACCAATGGATGATGACAATTGGAAATGTAGCAGTTGGGAATATATGTGAGCTTTAATTTCAAGAGCAGCAGTAATCCAACCCATTTCACATGTACTTGGGGTTGGTTATGAAGCACAATAACACTTGAAGACTTGCAATATCTTCTGAGTAGCTCTTTACATGGCATCAAAGCCTCCATGTAGATGAACAAGGGCCTTGCCATAAATGCTAGAAAGTCCATTGGTCAGTAGGAAAGAAACCTTAAAGTTCTGCAGCAGGAAAGAGTATCTTAAAGTTCCAGAGGCAAGCAAGAAAACCACCTTAGAAAACCACCTTTACCAGTAAGAGTTTATGATCGTGCAACCTAGGAGTAGGAGTAGAGATTCAGTTTTCTACAAGACAAGGGCAACTTCTAAAAGGTGGGCGAGATGTTACGTTATTACGTCTAGTCTATCAAAGTGTACTAACTGTGATAGTTCTGTAAAGATGAGATATATAAAAACCAGTTTCTTGCCAAAACTTCCAAATTCCTTGAGTTCTACCAAGTAATACAAGTAATGAACTACTCAACTGATGCAGAGAACCATGCTTACTGACCTGAACTCCGCTATCAAGCATAAAAACTTGATCCTCAGCACCCGGAGACTTCTGTTCTTTACATAATACCCACAAAGATATATATTTCAGAATACAAAACTGTTATATAATACCAACAAAGAAATATTTTCAGAATACAGAAATATACCTGCTCTTCTAGAGACCCAGATTTTTCACCTTCCTTAATGTCAATGGTTTCGAGCTCATTTTGCAATCTGGGGTGCGACCCATTTCCATTGCTAACGCAATTTGTTTCCTTTGATCTGTCTGAAACAGAATTATAATGAACAACATCCGATCGAAAACTCAACCCATTAGTTCCCTTACGCGCAGCATATCCATTACCAAAAAGTTCACTTTCACCATTGCTAAGTCTAGGGCGATCCCCGGCTTCACCTTCAGCCTCCGAACTAATACCAACAGTCTGTACATATGAAAACAGGTGCAGTAGCATTATTTGCACATGCATAAGAATGAGAAAATACCCAAGATTCGAATTCAATAAGGTGTTCACCTGAACGCCGTTGATCCCTCCTTTCTGAGGCAAGAAAGCATCCTTAAATTCCCAACTGCCATCATCATCTCCATTAGCATCACCACCGCCAACAGAAGCAGAAAAAGCAGGAGGCTGAGCGTAGAGATCAAAGATCAGATCTTTCACATCTCTGACCAAGGGTTTTGCAGGCGAAGAAGAAGAGAGCCCGTTGCGGTTGTGATTGAACAAGTTCAGCTCAGCTTCTTCCTCTTGTTCTTGGTCTTCTTCTTCTTGGCCACCGAAGATCGAGAGAGGAATGGCGCCCTTGGGTTTCTGCCATGAAGAAGAAGATGGTGGTGGTTTAGGGTTTGGATCGGTTTGAGGGGATTGGACGAAATCGCCCCAATCGTCGTCGTCTCGATCTTGATCCTGATGTTGAGGATGATGATTTTGAGGAGGAGTTGGAGATGAGGAGACGAAGGTGAAATCTCCGAAACCGTCCTCGTCTTGGACGGCGCCGGCGAAGGAGAAGGGCATGGTTGGGGGATGAATCTGGGAGCTGATGAGCTGTTTTTTTTCCCCATCTCACTTTTAATTTTGTATTTTTATATATGTCAATCCGAATTTGATGGATTGGACTTCAGGAGAGAATTTTTAATTGCTGTATGGGCGGTGAGTCAGGATGCAAATGGTTCAAATTACAGCTTGGATATGTTATTTTATCATGTTCGTATTTGCTAGGATTCGTTTGAATATCATGATGTTTTAGATGTTTTAGATATCACTGAGCGTTTGGTAAGTAGGGTGTTTTTTTTGTTTCCGTTTCTTTTTTTAAAAAAATCAGTCCGTTTGGGAACTGAAGCGTTTTTTTGAGCTGGCCATATACAAAAAGAAAAATCTAACGCTTATCTCAAAACACCTAAAATGTGTTTTGAGATTCCCGTGGCTTTTATTTCTCCCCCAAAATCCATCCCGAGTCCTCTCTCTCCCCACCCTAAGACAACCCATCGCCGCCCCTCCTTCGATCGCGCACGACCCCATCGCTCCATCCTCCGACTCGGAGATCGGTCGTCGCCCGACCAGGACTCAGCCTTCATATGACCACTCGAGTCGCTCGCCCGACCCGTCGCCCAGTTCGGAAAAATCCCGCCCGCCTACCAGTCGAATTCATCGCCCCTACAGCGATGCTCCGCCCGCCAAAGACCAGCATAGTCACCCCCCCAACCCTTCGTCACCACCACCAGTCGGTCTAGCTGTCTCCGCGTCGCCTAGGGTCTCCGTAGTCGTCGCCGCTGCACTGTCTCCTCATCCCGATGCGCTCCTCATCGTCGCTGTCGCTGCTCCGGTCGCTTCCGTCACCTCTGATTCCTCCTCCAATTTCGATCAAGGTATATTGATCTCCAAATTTTCTTGAGATTGAGATTTCATAAACTGCTTGTTTGAAATATCATAAGCCCCTTAATTAGTTTGATTGTGAGAATAATATGATATCTTGAAGTAGGTATTTTGAAAACACGTTTGAAAAATAAACACCATGATATGGTGTTTTTAAAAAAAACACAACAAAAAGAAACACTTTAGTTACCAAACGGTTATTTTTATGGTGTTTTGATTTGAAAATCGTAGTGTTTTATAAGTTAAACTGTCCTCAAATCAAAAACACATCACCTATTTCAAATTAGTGTTTTGATTTTGAGTTTGAGGAGGTGTTAATATAATATTTAACATAATAGATTAAATGTAATTAATATAGAGTTATTATCAACATGCTTATTAAATACTAGTATTTAATTAATAATATATTATATAATATTTAAATAATAATAAAATATAAATAAACTAATAAAAATAATAAAAAATTATTGATAATAAATAATAATATAATAATATAATAATAAAATTATAAAATATTATATAATAGTAACATATTTAATAATAACATAACAATATGATAATATTATTATAATAATATATTGTATAGTAAATGTAATATAATATATAAAATATTAATATAATATATAATAAATAATATAATCTATTATAAAGTAAAATAATTTCTAATAATAAAATAATTTATTGCTAACAAATGTTAATGTAAAAATAATATATTCATAATATAATAATACTTATTTATATCATAAATTTTTAATATATTGTTAAAGTACTATTAGTAAACTCTAACTTATTAAAAACTATAATATATTATATTACTATTAATAAACTCTAACTTATTAAAAACTATAATATATTATATAATATTAAAATATTTATAATATATTAATTTATTAATAATATACTAGTAATAGGGGGGACAAACTTGTTCATCATAAAAATGAATATATTAATAAAGAAATATCAAAGATACACAAAATTTGGTTTTTAGTAAGCTTGATAATAGGGGGAACAAACTTGTTCATTTAATTATCCAGCATATATTGGTGGTATCACTTAAAATAATACAAAACACAAATACTAATCACCTAAACCAATTTCCACCTCATTCCCTTCCTTATATCAAGCACAATATTCTATCCACATGGACTTTGGCATTTCATCTCTTTTATTTAACCAAATAGCTTGTACTTCTTTCTGTTCCCTTTTGCTTAAATTAAGCATGCTAACATTAGATTCTTCATTAGCAAATTCACTCTCCCTTTCATCAAAAACTACATCTTCTGTTATGTAACGACCATCTGGATCAACTATCATTATATAATTATACAGAATGCAGCATGCAATAACAATCTTGACATGTGTTTGAAATGGAAAATTAGGCCTACATGTTAGAATTTTGAAACGATTTTTCAAAATTCCAAATGCACTCTCTATCTTTAATCGAAGTGATGAGTGACGAAGATTAAAAAGCTCGTGATGGTTCAATGGTTCTCTACTGTCTTGCTCTTTAAGATGGTAACGCACGCTACGATAAGGTGTAATAAAACCAGCCATTGTCGTACATCCAGCATCGCAGAGATAATATTAATCTACAATATTAACATGAAACCAAATTATTAACTAATATTATTTTAAACTAATAAAATAGTTTATAAGTTAGTTTACATTTTATTACCTTTTATCAAACGCGATCCCTTTGGAGGAGGCATATGTTGGCCTTCTTGTTTTGATGATGTTTAACAAACAATTTACTTCTAATATTGTTTGTCTAGTGTTTATGTTTTCGTATTTATTCTAGGCAAACAACGAGTTGGATGATGGATGGAATCGAGCATTCACGATCATATCAAATGGAGGTTAGCGGAATTATGGAGTGAAGCCTATGCATTTCAAGTTGAAGATCCAAGTTCAAGCTTCATCCGCAAGTTTACCAGGTTGAGCTCATTGAAGACCTTCATCAAGCTTGGGTAATTTAGTTTAGGAGTTTATATTATGTGTGTTAGTACTTTAAGCTCAATCATATACACACATACACGTTTTGGTTTTGTATATATATAGTTATATATATACATATATGTTTTGGTTAAATAATTGAATATAATTAGAAAACATATTTTTGTTTCATACTTATATGCATATATATGATTTCATCAATATCAATTTTATTTAGTTCAATGAAATCATGTTTTAGTGCATTATATGTGTATTTTGATAAAATACTACATTCATTGTTTATAGACTTCATAACAATAGTTTACATCTTTCTTCAAGTCTATAAAATCGTTTTGTAAAGTTTCAAAATATGGTTTAGCCAAAATATCAAAATTCATATGTTTACATTTTCAAGTTTTGGACTATTTTGTAAAATAATGATATTTATCATTTGGGAAGTCCTTTTAGAAAACCAATTTTTGTAGCATGTGTATTATCATGTCTACAATCATTTTTCAAAGTTTTATATTTTTCTGAATTTATTTGATATTTTAAACAGAGTTTTAAATTCAGAAAATCAGATTTTTGCATATGTCAGTTTGCGGTCAACTGTCACGGTCGACCGTCCCTGAGTTCAGAAACTCAGTATGAGTTTAGTTGGCTTGCGGTCGACCGTGGCGGTCGACCGTATGGAGTCCAGAGAGTTTCACGGTCGACCGTCACGGTCGACAGTCAGCTTTTCAAAAGCCTAGTTTTGCCTTTTAGTTGCTCGCGGTTGACCGCAAGTTTCCCACGGTCGACCACCGCACTGTCTTGTCATTCCCAACGGTTATTTTTCTGTAGCCATTGTTTAGGGCTTTTGGTCTTTTGTTTGGGGTTCTTGGCTGAGTTTTTGGGAGGCTATAAATACCCCCTTGATCTCAGTTCTCAACCTAACCTAGAAATGTTTTAAAACAAGTTTTAAAAGAGTTTAAGTTTGTTTAAGGGTTTGGTTTGTGAAGAATTCTACAAGAGGAATTGGAGATCAATTCATTGACATTTGAGCTTCAAATCCATCTCTCTCTCTCTCTCTTGTCATTTATTGGAGAAGTTTTCTAAACTCTATCTAGCTTTACATATTGCTTAGTTATTTGTTTATCATTCTTTAAAGCTAGTTTTTATATTGAGTTTAGACTTGATTTTATTTTCTCATTGCTTACACACACAACCATTGAGCTTATTGTATTTACATACATTGTATAATTAGGTTGTGGGGAGTTGTAACAATTGAGAGTGAGCATAATTGTGTTCTTATCTTTTGTAGAGAACAAATTTATTATTTGTTATAATTGTGAGATTGTAAAGTTTTCGGTTAGCTAGAAAACCGAGTGTGAGGAGTGGACGTTGATCGGTGAGCGTTGAAAACCGACATAGTGTGGTTGTAAACATTATTCGGGTGAGCATAGAAAACACGATCGTGATAGTGGATTTCTCCCCGGGAGTGGGGAGCGGAGACGTAAGACGGAAGGTCCGAACTCCGTGATCATTTGCTTGTGTTTGAGTTTACTTTGGCGTTTTATTTGTGCTTAGTATTCATTACATTCTTATCGCCATCGTAAATTTCCCTACCACATTTGTAGATTGTTTATTTCACCCTTATGTTAGTTTATATATCATTGCATATATTTCATAGTATATCTCATTACTAGGATATATTCATTTGCTCATATTGTTTATTCTTGCTTATAACATATTGTATATCTATCTTGCAAGAAGAATAGTTTAAATTGGTTTTAATTGGTATAAAATCAGCTTAGATTAGCATAAGACCCTAATCACCCCCCTCTAGGGTCTAACAATTAGTATCAGAGCTTGGTGCTCTTTGATTTAAGGACTAATCGCCTTAAGTTAAAGATCCAAGTTGTCTTTTTATGCTAATCCAATTTTTGATTTTTGTATCTTGCTTGCATATATACATTATGGATATGTACGATGCATCTTGTTTAGGTTATGCCATCAATATTACTCCTAGATTAGATAATTTCCCCTATGCCTAATGGTGTGTTAGATTTAAACTTTTTGTTCAATTTAAACACTTTGATTTATGGAAAATTATAGATAATGCTTATATTGTGCCCACTACGGAGAAATTCAAGTGGAATAAAAATGATCATCGTATGTTTACAATGAACAATATTTTGTTAGAATATTTGCTAAATGCCCTTGATTCATCTACGCCTAACAAATTTGTTCATTTTGATAGTGCTTACACCTTATGGAAATTTATTGAAGCACATCAAGGGGACTTGGAGGCGATCCGACAAGCTTTGGAGGATCCGACTTCAAGTTC